TATTAATACCTTAATCATGACAGCCACCTCCAAAGATTGTTCCCACATTGGAGGAATTATTCTGATGACCGAAGACTTCATATTGAAAGAATCAAAAGCGGCCTTAAAAGTTCTAAACTGGTTCGGAAATTTCCTAGGGAGAAAGTTCCCTGGGACTTGGAAGATGTTTCTACGGCCGAACGTGCAGCACTGGCTGTTTGATCTTTGTGGAAGTTGGCCAGACGACACGTGGGTCATCTCGTTCTTTGCTCCCCCTTATCGGTTTTGTTTTTAGAGGCTAATATTGACTTTGGATTGTTTTTTTCCCTTGTCTAGACTGTGGAAGATGTACCAGACGATCAAGAACCTCATTCCAGAATATCCCGTAGGACACTACAACACCTACCGGCGCGAGGGCTCGCCGGAATCATTAGACGGACTCACTGATGATGAGGGGCAGCATCACCCCTTCATCTCAACTCGCATGATACCGGATTACGGCTCACGTCGCGCGGACGACCACCCGAATATCCCCAAAGGACTAACGCAAAAAGAGAGAGATGCCGATCACCTTATCGAATATTTTGCGGGTTATGCGTTGATCAATGCGGAAAGATTTCGACGGTTTGTAGTGTTAACCACATATAAGCCGCAGCCGCGATGGCAAGCGTGGGCCCATGTATGTAACAACCAATATCTCACCGGCAATCCGATTAACAGCACTTGCGTGTGAAAGTGAGCAGGAAATTCAAGCTAACTTAATTCAAACCTCCCTCGGGCCTTTCCCTCCCATAAAAATCAGATCGAAATCATGTGCTACCCAGAATTCAAGCGAGAACTCATGGCATCCCCTACACACAATGCCAGCAATAGCCAAAGTGGTAAAAATAATAAGAGCGGCAAATACGCCCACCATTCCCTTTCCAGCTCCGGGCGTGGCGGTGGTCACGGGCACGACCGCGAGAAGGTCCCAACGACAGCCTCAGAGGCAGGGCCAATAGATGCTTCGTGCGGGAAATAGCAATAATGATACCAGCCCGCGTTACTCCCCCAGTTACATGTGAGAGTACACGGAGCTGGTAAAAATGGTAAAGGGATGAAATTTTAATTGGATGAAATGGAAATGGGATATCATGATGCAGTGCCTGGGTATTCAGTGTTCTAATAAAGGGCCCTCACTTTCTAGATTCTAGGCTGCTGTTTTAATTTATTTGATTTGATTTTTCTGGTTACTAGCGGTTTTTGTGGCATGTGGTGCGCATTACGGGTTTATTTGCTGGGCCTGTCTGTTTATGACATTTTTAATCCCCCTTTTCAATATCTCGAATATACCCATCCCCTTTCGATTCTACGGCGATGTACAGTTTTGTCCTTAAACTTATAATATATCTTGCGTCCGAAATCTTCTTCCTCTATGCCACCATCGACTTATCTTCATTTTTCTCCTTAACGCTCCAATGTGTGGAATTACAACAATGATATGACAGCACATCTATGCCCGTAGTGAGAAAAGGGATCTGTATCTCTCAACTCCGCCGCCATGGGCATCATACACTCGAATTGAAAGCCATAGGTCATGAGCAAAAATCACGACACCTCCTGAGCATGTATATCCACACGTGGTTCTATCCACGTTTTCAGAGATATATTGCCGCCAGGGCGAATCAAGAATAACTCCGGGCTAGTTAGGGGGCAGTCGTAGTCCTACAGAGAGCGCGAGAATCCCTCCTATTTCACATTTGTTAAGGACCAGGGAAGGTGTATTCTCTGAAAATTGATCACGGGGAGAAGAAAATATCCGTATGAACATTGCAAGGAAGACATTCGTAGGAAGCAAGCAATATGGGAATAAGAGTAGAAGCAGCTATAATGACGATGCGGAAAGCAATTAGAAACCAACATTGGGCTGGCTGTGTGTTGGACCTTTCAACCCATCCAGCTGACTGCCTACATTCAACGGAATAAAGTTGCATTGATTGATTGAAATACAACAAGCCAAATTTACCTACACCCGTTGACAATTTCACAGTTAATTACCAAATTAGAGTGAGGAAACCAGAGATGTCATCAGCGCAGCATTCCAATGGATAGTCTAGTTATGCAAGTAACTAGCTACTGTGCATGTTGAATTATGCTGAGCGCAAAGAAATGCAACTTAGTCGTGGGAGTGCAAAAATAAGGATGGTAAACCAAGGGTAAGGAACGCAACCCGTGAACCGTGAAGGTTTAAATGTGAAAGCGAAAGAGAACGATAGAGAAAGAAACGAACGGAAAACGAAACATTTGTCATGAACACATAAAACAACACGCCGATTATCCCATCGGAAGACGTAAAGTAAAATAATCATGAGGGGACGGAAGGATTCTGAAAGGGAAAGAAATGGGAGAAACATATATAGTGAGAAAATCACTCAAACAAAGCTCTCAGAGAAATTTTGAATGGGCGATCAATGAGGGATAAAATTAAACCACCAAGGGGACAAAGAGCATATGTATGCAACCCTTCGTACTGAGGAATGATGGCTGGTTTGAGTCCCTTTTCAAATAAGAAGAGACAAAAGGGGCCCTCCGATCTGAACATGGAATTCCACCCTGTCTTGTAGCAAAGAACCTAAGATCTTAGAGAGCAGCAGTGATGTCTTCCCATAACATAACCAACCCTTATAGAAAGGTATGTATCGTGCCGCCGTCCGTCATGAAAACCCCCCAACAGCGGTATCCGTTCTAGCACGCAGCCTCCACTGCTCAAAACTATTGTCGTTATTCTTATTATCCCCGGGGCCCTCCTTTTGTTTCCTTATCCTCTCCTCCCACTCGCCTTCTTCCGCGGCGATCATCGCATGGAACTTGCCACCCTGACCACGGGCGAGGTATATGGCTTTCTCCTCCCGTGCAGCAACGGCCTCGGTAATGAGGACAAATTTCACACTGGAGCCTGGTGCCTCGAACATGGCGTCGCCTAGGATCATCTCCATTTCCGTACGCAGCCCGCGTGCGCCCGTCGCCATTGACATGGCGTTACTCGCTATTTTGTGACGTGCTGGCGTTGTGAATCGGAGTTCTATACCCGACAATGAGAAGAGTGTGGTGTATTGGGCGAGTAATGAGTTGCGCGGTTCTGTTAGGATGCGGAGCAGGAGGTGGTGGGTGAGCTGAGAAAGAGCTGTGATTACGGGAATGCGGCCAACAAGCTCTGGGATGAAGCCGTAGGTTTGGAGGTCGACGGGCGTAAGGAGGTCAAGCGGGTTAAAGTACGTCGGTTCTTCGACAGGCGAACCTGACCCAGACGGTAACGGCGCAGGGGTAAAGAAAGGGAGATGCTTCTTATATAGGGCTTCCTCCTCAGAGCCGGGAAGGATTGGAATGGGTGCTGTAGAAGCTGCATGTGACGAATTGTGGGAACTAAACGAGTTTGATGATGCCCGTATAGGTTGGCCGAACCCAATGGAGCCACGCGATATCCGATCCATGATCATTTTGTTCAGGCCTACGAACGCACCCGAGAAAATGAAAAGGATGTTGTCTGTCCGCACATTGTAAACTTCAGGCTTGCCAGGGACTCCTGGTGGCGTTGAAGAGAATGACGATCCTCCAAAATTGCTACCGGTGGTGCTTGGGCTGGAATTGTGCGATCCACTGGAACGGGAAGCATTTCGCTCTGGTTTGGCTTGAATCTGAACAGTTGTGCCTTCAATGATCTTTAGCAAAGCTTGTTGGACTCCTTCGCCGCTCACATCTTTCCCGTGGCTAACTTTTGCAGCAGCGAGCTTGTCGACCTCGTCAAGGCAGATGATGCCCCATTCTGCCTGGGCTACATCGTAATTGGCAGCAGCTAGTAATCTATGGACGCATACATCCGCGTCCTCTCCAATATACCCGGCTTGTGTAAATGGAGTGCAGTCAGATATGCTGAACGGTACGGACAGTACACGAGCTAAGGTTTTGGCCATCAGAGTCTTGCCTACGCCAGATGGGCCAAGCAGTAGGATATTAGACTTCTCGAGCGTCAAAGGAGATGAGTCGATGGGGAGTGGTCCTGATCGCGCTATGTCATCATTGGTAGTTCTTTGGGTATGAATGGTCCGTTGCTGACCTGGAAATTCAGCTAGAGAGCCGAAGCAAAAAGGAAAGTGAGTTAGCAGCAAGTTCAGATCTGTCTACCAATTGCCATCTGACAGGAAGTACGTAGAATGCAAGCTACATACTCTCTATGGGATGTCCCTCCACAGATTCACGACGTGCTTGTTGTGCCTTCAATTCCTCTTTCTCTTCCTCCTGCCTCTGCAACTCCTGCACCCGTTGATAGTGATTGTAAACAGCCACACTCAACACCTTCTTAGCTCTATCCTGACCAACCACAAATTGATCCAGATGTTGTTTGAGTATTTTAGGGGTCAAGCGTGGTGAACCAAAGGAGGGTGCGGAGCCCAATGGGCCGGAAGTGGGGAGGCCCGGCTCATAGCTGCCAGTGAAAGGCTGGTTGGTGAAATCAGAGCGGTGGAATTGAGAAGGAGAAGAGCAACGGGGTGAGGTAAAGATATGACGGCGTATGGAGTAGAGGGCTAGATAGGATAGCTGGACCCGCCGACGGACGGGGGAACTTGTCGTTGTCCAGTCGAGCGGCCGAAGCGGGGATCTGAAGGGGCGGAGAAAGCTCATCCAGCTAGCTTGAGCTGGGGAAGCGGTGGGGTGAGTCGAAGATAAGAATAATTGAGGACTGACACACGGATGCCAGGAATAGAGAATACAGTAGATCAGCAAGATAGCAGAACAGAGCAGAGCAGACCGGACAGTAGAGGAGGCGAAGAGTTGGAGACGTTGAAGTTGGAGATGTTGCTTAGTTTGCCGCTTTATGCCTTCCCCACCAACTTTATGTAAGCCCTCAGAGCTCCGCAGTCCCTAAGGATTGGTTAGGGTAGAATGATTCTTAAGGATTAAGAACAAGGATTGACAATCTGATTGCTATGCTAGAGCTAATTACAATTTTTCATCAACTGTTTCTTATTCATTCTCTTCAAAAAAAAATAAAAGAAGATCAAAAGAAAAACAAAGGGAATCCTCTTTCTTAAAAGAAAGGAAAAAAAACAAACAGAATCTTAAAAGAAAAGAAATAATAAAAGTAGATAAATAAAAAAATTGTCAAGAAAGAGAAGAAACATCTATTCTGTTCATTCTCATCCCACAACAAAAGAATTCAATTACTAAATGAATTTCATTTAATATTTAGGTAGACAGTTTATTTGAAGATTGCAGATTTTAAACTGTTCTCATCATAACTTCAATCTTCTCTATTTCAATGATTCAATAACTCAAAAAATGTAAATGTGTTCTCAGATAATATTGTCAAATCAATTTTGTCTTTGAAAAAGATCTTGCTGAATTTCTTTTAATTGTTATTGAAATTCAGATGATCATATATTTCCATTCACAAATCATTCATAATCTTTGATATTAATATTTTAATATGTATGTATGTATGTATGTATTGATTTAGCGTCCCAGAGAAGACACAGGCAATGCCTGCACTTCAAAAGCCTCCCGAAGGGCATGGGGACGTGCTACGCTGAAGAAATCTCTATATACACAGTAATGATAGACACAGTATCCAGATAGCAACTCTTGAGAAGACTCAGTCTATATAGACTGTATATCTACTTCTGGCCCGACGTATGGCCATTCATTGTAGAGATAATCAAAGCACACAAGTGCTATGGCAAGGCAATTGCTCGCAGAGAGCAGCGGCAGAGCGATTACTCACAGAGAGCAAAGATCAAGGCCTGAAGGCCAATGAATGCTGAGTTCACTGAGAATCAGACACTCATAACAACCGCTCTGCTCTTGGCCATCATCATAAATGATGTTACCAGGCTGCACCACGAGGAGGTGGCAGAGTCGGACTTCGCAGCCCAGATCTTAATACAGAAGACTGTGAGATGATTATAAACTCTTTAAAAAAATAAAGTTTCTGTAAAAGAATTGACTGTATATAATCAAGTATACTATATTTGAATTCATTTAATTGCAGTTGGCTATTGTATGTATAAATATGATTAAGAAGAGAATTGATGGAATTGTAAAATCTTAAAGATTTTATAATGTTGTTATATGTCTTCTATTGTTTTGAGGGATTGTATATGATCAGATGATCAATAATCAGTATTTTGATTTTTTATATTTCATCATCATTTATTATTATTATTATTATTCTTCTTATTCTTCCATTATAGATGTATGCAGTCAGTGACTATGACATCTACCTGAAATACTCCAGGATTTTTCAACTTAAGAATAAGTTAATATACAAAGTCAATTTAATACATGCAATAGCAGAATTCCAGCCTAGAATCAAACAACTATTCAAACTATTCAATTTAAGAAAGAATGTCAAAAGAATGACAACAGATCAAAACATTCAATTTAAAACAAATGAAATAAAAAGTATAAAAAACAGCAGCTATTAAAAGAAAAGAAAGTATTCACAAATCAAAACAAGTCAAAATCAAAAATAATCAAAATGAAATAAATTTTAAAGCAAAAATAACAAAATAAAAATAAAAACAAGAACAAAAATTAAAGCAAATACATAGAAACAAAAGAAAAAAGAAAAAGAAAAATTGAATTCATTATCAGATCAAACTATTTAATTGAAATCTTGTAGCAATATTTGATTCTTTTAAATATTCAATCAAGAATTCATTTCCAGTTTTTATATTGAACAAAAGTTTCAAATTTAACTGTGTCAATTCAAACTTCTCTCTCAATCTCAATCTTAACTGTGTATGCTTTGTACAAAGTAAAAGAAGATGCTCTGAGTTTTCATATAACTGACAATCTGAACATAAATCACTTAAATCATTTCTAATCTTTGTTAAATATGATTTAAAATAACCATGTCCAAGTTTTAGATGCATTATTGTAGCAAAAAGTTTCTTTTTACATTTTATTGAGCAAGCTTTCCATTTTGGCTTAGTTTCAAACCTGGAATAATGTACACTCTTTTTTTGTAAAAACAAGATATCTTGCCATGTTTGCAAACATGATTCTTTTATTTTTCTCTTAATAAAAGCTTATGTAAAATGAATTTCTGATGTTAGATATTAAATTCAGAGATATTCTCTGTTTCTGCATCTGAATTTGTTTTTCTTTTCCTTTTCAGTCCTCTTTCTTTTTGAGCTCTTTCAATGAAAGCAAACTCTCAGGCTTTTGAAATGAATATACAATCAGCAATAATAGAAAGTATAGTAAAAAGAATTTTTTAAATTAAAAGAGTGTCATGAAATCACTACTACTCTTTTTTTAAAGTAAGAAGATTAGCAGATAATAAAAATGAAAAATGTTTGATGAAGAATTATAACATGAGAAGTTAAAGTTGGGACCACAATAACAAAAAACAAGATGGCAATGAATTCAAAATTGAAAGAAATATCGTCTATTCTGCTAAAAGAGAAAGGAAGTATTATATGAGATAAAAGTAAAAATGAATAAATTGTGTGAAAAAAGAAAGAAGAAATAAATATCATTGTCATTGATTTCTATTCTAACTAAACTTTTACTGAAAGTGTTGTAAAAATTAACTTCAACAGTCTGTCTTCTTTTGAAATTGAAGTATTGAATGACTATATCTTTCTCTGTTCGGATCTCATCATCAATATTGTTTGAATTGAGATATGAAGTTTTTGATGTGAAAGTCTTGAGATGATTTAGATGAATTTTAAATGAGAATCTTTCACTTTAAAAATATGTGATTCAGTATAAATGCTTTTATTCACTGATTTTTTTTTTTTTTTTTTTTTTTCAATGATAAAAAGTTTTTTTCAATACTTCTGAAGCTTTGCTCTTTCATTTTCTTTTAACATTACTAGATTTTTTGATTTCGAAGAATGAATATTCATTCTCATCTTCATTCTCTTTTTTTGTTAATATTTCTTAAACAACTTTTTCAATCTCAGCTTTATATGATATAAAAGCTGTAGTCTCTAAAATTTTAGCAAGATTGAAATCTCTAAGTTTTTCAAGATGTTCTTTAGAGAACAAGAATCTTGCTAACTGAGTAGACTTTATAATGAATTTGAAAATGTCATTCTTTACTGAGTCAAGATTAATATCATCAATGGTTTTCAGAGCTATCTCTGTAGATGAGAAATTAAAATAATCAATTATTCTCTTTCAAAGTATCTTTAAAACATCTAAGAGAGCGATATTCTATTGTTGCATAAAGTTGTTTGATATCTTCATTCAAATCTATTACAGTTAATGATTGGAGTTTTCAATCTTCTAGGTAAATTTGAATGATTCAGTCTGACAGTATGTTATAGTAATATCATAAGCTTTCACTCAATCATTGAATATATAGCTTAAAAATAGAGATACAAAGTCTATGTAAAATTCAATTACATTCAAATGTGAAAAAATCTAAATTATTCTTTTTAAACAGATAATAACATACTCAGATAGTTGTCTGAGTAATGTAAAAGCAATACAAAAGAAAAAGAAGTAGTTGATAATATTCAAAATATAATAATGGTTGAAACATATTTCTGAAAGTGAACTCACAAAGTTCATGCTGAGGATCTGAAAAAGTGTAGCTAAAACTATAGAGTTGGAGAGAATTTTTGAAAAATAGATTGTGTAAATTACATACTTTAAGCAATCTTTCATTTAGTTTTTAATATCTTGTGCTAATCTAGACTATCAAATTCAATGAATTAATCTAATTGCAGTCACTTTTACGTCTCAATAATTTTTTTGATTATAAATTTATATTAATAATTGATGAACTTTGCCTTCTGAAATATAGAGAAGGTTATTATTATTATTATTATTATTATTATTATTTATTATACTCCGCCTTCATCCAATGGATATGCGGTTCTGCTACCATATGTCTAGCTAGGAAAACCCCACTGCGCCTTGGCGCAGGGGGGTGAAAAACCTTGCGCACAGCGGTGTTAACTATCCTGTTCATCTGCAGGGTACCGGGCAAGTCAGCTAGAGCTGTTCCTTGCAATGGGAGCGGGAACAAAGGAAAAGGAATTAGAGAAAGTAGAGTAACAAAAGAAAGGAAGAAGGGAGGGACAGATAGTAGGCGCTGTTAGGATAGAAGGGAGTGACAGGAGGGGGTAGAGGGGATTGACAGAAGGGGTAGATAGAGGAGATTATACGGCAGGGTGAGGAGATGATGAGGGGATGAAAATGAGGTGGTGCAAATGAGGTGGAGAGAGGCGAGGGGATGGGGAGGAGAGGGAGGAGAGGGAGGGGCTAAGTAGTCAGGGGAGTGAGTGCATGTGGGATTCAGGGGATTCTGGGGGTCCAAGGCAGCTCAGGGCCTTATGGTACATAGTGTGTCAGCTCGCGTGCTAATGTGAACTGGCCTAGAATCCCGCTCTCCATCCACCAGTTTGACAGGAGATGCAGGCCTTCCTTGGTGTCTAGCAGCATCCTCTTGTCTAGCCTGCCATTTCTTATAAGGCCCTGACGCTGCTGCTCCCAGCGTTCGCAGTGTATCAGAACATGTTCGACTGTGTCCCATTCATACCCACAGGGGCACCGTGGGGTGGGGAATTCAGGTACCTTACACCGGTTTAGGAAAGCTGCCAGTCCGGTTTTCCCTGACCTCAATTGGATGATGATAGTGCTGCGAGCCTTGCGCAGGCCGGTGTGCCACTTCAGAATTTTCTTGTCTGGGGGCCGGCCATGCCGCTCCCCCCAGGGGGGCTCACGTCTTTTCCACCTCTGCACCCACCTCCAGAGCTGCTCGCGCTTCAGCCAGTGATTATATGAGGCTTGGTCCAGGTTGGCTCGTTGTTCCGGTGTCATCTCTGCTGTAGCTCTCTCCTTAGCACCCTGAATCCATTGCTGTTCCCAGTCCACTGGCAGGGCTGCCGGGTGAACCACAGCTCCCATGTGTCTCTGTGCCCCCCTTGTCACCCCCCGGTGCCGAAGCCTGGTCCTTATGGCTGCACACGCATTCTCAATTTGTTGCGCCATTCCTGAGGCCTTCATCCTGTTGACCGCCTTTGCCACTAGCCCATCCAGGTGGATGTCTAAGGGTACTGTGTGGGTTTCCGCTTCCAGTGTGCTTGTTGGGGTTCTTTTGTATGCCCCTGCCACTATTCTGAGGCAGGAGTTCTGCACTGTGGTCAGCTTGAGGGCCAGTCCTGACTTAGCTGGACCCGTGCCCCCCTGCCCCTGTGGCTGGTGCCATGCTATTGCTCCATAGGTCAGGGCCGGCCTGATGACCATGTTATACACCATTCTCGCTTGTTGTAGTGGGAGCCCCCATGTGGATTGGGTGGTTTGGGACAGTGCTCTGACTTGAGTCTTCATCTTGCCTGCCACCGCGTCCAGGTGGCCCTTCCATCTCAGCCTAGAGTCTAACCATACACCCAATACCCTCATCACCTGTTTCGGTTGTATAGTTTGTCCTGGTAGTCTCAGCTCAGCCTGTAGGTTGAATTGGTTGCGCGCCCGTGTGAAGTGCATTAGCTCATACTTCTGGGGGGCAAAGACCGCCCCGTGCCGTGCTGCCCACTCCTCGCATGCCCGATGCATGCGCAGGAGCTCCCTGCAGTTGTCCTCAGTGGACTGGCCATAGGCCATCACGTTGACATCGTCCACAAAGGCTATGCACACCACCGGGCGCCCCGGTCTTGAGCAGATGCGCACCAGTTCCTCATTGTAGAATAGGAATAGTATAGGTGATAGGGGTGACCCCTGCGGGATGCCTGCTGGGATGTCAAAGGTGTCTGATTCCTGGCCCTCAAAGGCAATTGTGGATTTCCTGTTGGTCATGAAGGACGCAACCCATCCCACCAGGTCCCTGGGGATGCCCAGTCGCCGGAGGATGTGAACCATTCGCTCCCGCAGCACCTTGTCATAGGCCCCTGTCATGTCTAGGGAGAGTACCGATGCCACCTGTCCTGGGTGCTGCCACACTGTCCTTATCTGGGCTAGAAGTTGTGCTATGGCTGTTTCAGTGGACCTGCCCCTTCTTGCCCCCATTTGCTGTGAGGGTAGCAGGTTGTGGTCCTCCGCGATCTTCCGCAGGCGTTTTGCAGTTGCTGCCTCCACAATCTTCCCTATTGTGTCCAGCAAGGCAATGGGTCTCCACGCTCCTGCAGTCTGGTAGTCAGCCTTCCCTGGCTTGCGCAAGGCCACTGTCTTGGCTTCCTTAAACGTGTCTGGGTAAGTCTCCCAATGCCAGCATGCATTGGTGAGAGCTGTTATGGCCTCCACAAATGTTCTGCCCAGCATCTTAAGGAACTCGTTGGTGATCCCACTCCTCCCTGGTGCCTTCCTGTTTGGCAGTCTCTGGATCAGGCTTTCCATGTCCTCCACACTGATGGTGTCATTTGACGCTTCCCTTTCAGCTTGCAGCAGCTCCATATTGGTGTCACTTAAGTCGGCGGGCTCTGGCTGTGGGAAGAACCGTTGTCGTAATGCCTCAGCCTTCCCCTCAAAAGAGGTTTCTACCGTCGCGTCAGCCCCTTCCCCTGTTCTCAGGGGGGGGACAGTAGGTGCCTGTGGGGGCAAATGGCTTCTTTCCTTGCCCTATTTTGCTAGTCCCCACATCAATCTGGGGTCATCACGGGTCCTGTCAACCAGATCTCTGAAGTTTGCTGTCTTAGCCAAGTGGATTTCTCTGTTGCGCCTGCAGCGTGCCCTGAGCCGCTCCATTTCTGGGAGCTGGGACCTCCTAGCTTGCTTGTACTCCTCCACTGCCTTGGCCACCCTCGGTGACCACCATGTCTTGGATTTTAACCCAGCCTTACTTACGGTGGCGTGTTTGTCCGCTAATGTCCCTACAAATCCTACCAGGTAGTCTGCATACTCCTTGACTGCTTGCCTGGAGTCCAGGCTTTGTGGCACATATAGCTTTTGGCAGTCCCTTGCTACCTCCTCAGGCTCCGCATTCTTCCAGTTTCGTCTCTCAGCCTCCTTTGGGATGGGTGTGAGTTCCAGTGTTGTTTCTATGGGCTTATGGTCAGATCCTTTGCATGCCTCCTCCGCTATTGCACACCTCCTGAGCTTGTCGTGCAGGAGTGGTGATAGAAAGGTGAGGTCTATAGTCGTTCCTGGGCTGCCTCTGTCCTGCCATGTGGTAGCCCCTACAGGTGTGGCAAGCTGGAGACCCAGCCTATCCACCTGTGCTATTAGCTGCCATGCCATGCGGAAGTTTCTCTCCACTCTCACCCCTCCCCACCTCTCATGGTGGACATTAAGATCTCCTAATATGACCAGCTCTGCATCTGTGCCCATTCCGGCTACCTCCTGCAGCTGGCCTATGGGGGATTCCTCCGGTTCACTGCTGTAGCCCCCTGGAGGAGGTGCATACACATTGACTATTTGCACCTTACCCAGGTCGGTGGTGATTGTCAGCACTGCAATGTATTCTGAGTGGTAGTGGCACTCCCATGTGTGTTCCACGAGCCTTTTGTTGACCAGAAAGCATACTCTTGGGTGTGTTTCCGGGTGATATGCTGGCCAGAAGCCGCAGCTTCTGGGGCAGTGTGTTGCTAGCATGTGGGGATTCCGGCTGGGCTCTTGTACTGCAATTACGTCGTATTTGTCTTCTGTTGCAGGGTCTGCCAATAACGCACCCATAACTCTCGCAGAGTTGTGCACGTTATATTGTAGGAGGTTTAGTGTGTCCCTCATTGTTGCGTGGGGGCTGGGGTCTGCGTGTAGTCCATTAGGTCCTCCTGTAGCTGAGACCCAGGTTGTGAGCTCTGTGGTGCTATAAAGGCACTTAGAGCTCCTCTCTGGGCTTCGCCTGCTTGCAGAATCCCCTTGGGTCGGCCTGGTCCTCTTCTTTGGCCCTCTGGTTCCCCAGTGGGTAACCTTTTATTTCCTCTGGTTTGCACCACCTGCCACCCATCTTGTGCTTTTGGCTCCATAAACCTACGGGGTCTTTCCATGTATGCTGTACGGGCCCTGCTTGATGCCCTCTCCCTCTCAGGGCACTTAGAGACCCAGGCTGGGTGTGTTCCCCTACAATTTGCGCACCTCGGTTGTTCCCCAGCTTTTCGTGCTGGGCATTCCTTGTCGTCATGTTCTTTTGCCGCGCAGAACCCGCACCTTTTGGCCTGCCTGCAGAATCTGGCCGTATGCCCATACTCATGGCAGTTAAAGCACCGGGTGACCTGCGCTTCCCGGTGGAAGATTTCAACGTCACAAAATATGCTGTCTATTATCAATCCATTGTCTACTAGTAGGTTGGCTTGCTGAGGCGAGGTGACGCTGAGTACAAGAGACCCAACCTTTGCCTGCAAGCTGGCATTCCGTCGTAGAGACAGTCTCTCAATTTGTACCCCTCTTCGGAGTCCTTCATTCTGTGCGTAAATTGCCTTGATGGCTTGCTGTTCCTCCTTCCAGTTGGTGTTGCCCATTGGGACTCCCTTAACCATGACTGGGTACAGGGTGTGCTTTGCCTTCGCCTTTTGTCCCAAGACTTCCAGCCATGTGCTGCTCTTAGTCAAGGCCTCCCTGGTCTCCCTCGCATCGGTTGTCAGGATGATGTCTCCACTGGGGAGACATCTTGCTGCAAGCACCTTTCCCTTTGTCACATCCACAATTCTGGCGTTGACGGCTGCCACAATCGCTGGGGGGGTGGCCTCCTCAGCTGGGAGGGCTTCGCAGTCCCGGCGTAGGACAGTAATCTCGCGGAGGGTTCGGTTAGGCACTGGTTTTTCTGGAATTCCCTGTCCTGCGACCTTGGCCCATGATGACAGTTTGGCTTCTTTCACTCCTTCGGGTTGGCGTTGTGCGCGTGTCGCCACGGTCGCGTCTTCCACCTTGGCCAGCATCACCTCCCCCAGTTTGACCTTCAACTCCCTCACCAACCTGGCTGCCTCCTCCACTACCTCCTTCCCTTTGCCGTTGATGGCAGGATCTTCGCTCCCATTGCAAAGAACATTGCTCAACTGTGTCAATATTGCTCCACATGTGGTGGGCTGCTGCCTCTTGTCAGAGTTTTCTTCTCGCGGGCGTCCGTCAGCGCGTCCCACGATTTCCTCCATCACAACCATGGCACCAGCACCACCTCAACTGGGGATTGCTGGGTGTCGTGAGATTCCCTGCGATCAGGGCTATCGTTCGCTATCGTTTTCAGTGTATTTATATAAAAGTAAAGACCTTCAGTATCTCAGTAGTATTTTGATGATTAATTCCAGAAGAATATCGATTCAGCTGTTAAAAAGATTATTATTATTATTATTCTTCCGTTATACTCGTATGCAAGCAGTGCTTATGACGAGTCCTTTCTATAGAGAAGGTTCAAATCTATTCTTTTATTTTTTTTGTAAAGAAAATCATTTTGAAGTTTGAAATCTAGAACATTAATTGAAGATGTTTTAAACTTTTTTAAAAAAATTGATAATTGTTCTGGAATCAAACTAAAGTTCTATATACTTGATTTCAGTTGAGAATTATCTCATGTGGAACGGCTGGGAAATTTTGATAAGTGAAGGTAATAGTATCAGATAAAAGAGATGAAGTTTTCTTTGTATAAATTCAGAAATAATTTTCAAATTCTTTTTTTTCATTCTTTCATATTCACAAAAACTCTTTCTCTTCAACTTTCTTCAGCAAATGTTGTATAAGAGATGTGTTAATGCAATGTTCATTAAAAATGATTCTGTTTAAAGCATTCACTACTCTATTATTATGATGAGTTAGTATCTGTTAATAATTAACTTATACAATCAACTTTTTTTTTTGCATTTATTTATTTCTGTTATTGCATTCTGCATTAATATAATCTCTAATAATTCTTTTATGTAATCTCTTTTGCCTTACACTCTGTGCTTGTGTAATGTTAATGATTCTTTCATGTAATTTTTAATGTTCTTCTGCTTCATGCTCAGCTTCACACTTCACTGTGGAGTGGCTTTTAATATTCTTCCATTTCAATCTCTTCTCTATAAGAGCCCCGGTGGCCGAATGAATAATGCGGCCACCAGGTAGCGCCTTGGCGTGGGGACTCAAGATGTGTGGGTTTGAAACTCATAAGAGGACAATATTACATCTGAAACCAACTTCTCAGCTTTTAATATAAAGGGATGTGAACTTGTCAAGTAGATATCTTGAAGTGAATTTACTATCTGATTTAGCTTATTGTTTCTGAGATGAAAATCTGTATCATAAATATCAAATCCAGTCTTTCATTAATTTTTCTATGTTTTTGTTATATTTTTGACATCATTCAATATTAACCATTCCTCATGTATAACCAACTCTTGCCTATATTTAACATTACATAAGGACTCGTCATAAGCACTGTTTGCATACAAGTATAACGGAAGAATAATAATAATAATAATCATTGTGAAGACAGAAGAAGCATATTTTTACAACATTTTTATCAATTGAAATTATTTTAATTCTGATATTGTAAATATGTAATACTGTTTATAAAACTTGTAAAGATTAATTTAGATATAGATATGTTTAAAATCTGCTGTGAAATAGATTTTATATTGAGAATCTGTTAAATAATTATCAATGCAATCTGTCAATTTCATATGAGTTTTCTGAGAAAGTTTTATATACACAATGATAATTGAATGTCAATATCAATTCATCATTAGAACTGTTATTTGTTTTCTTCAGAATAAAGATTATTCTGACATTTTATAAAAACAATTCTTCCTTCACAGCTATCATTGATTTATAGATTTTCTCTTCAAATTTTTTTTGATAAACTTTCTCATTCATCATTTATGAAAGAAGAAGTAATGTTTTTGAGATTTAACTGAATGAGGTTTTATTCCAGACTGAAGACTAGCTTTATGAATGATTAAATCAATACAAAATAGATTGTTTGAAGACTCTTCATCTAAATGATGTTAATGATATAAAAGTTTAATAATTGTCAGTTTCAGTTAAATGAGTAATACAGAATCAAGAATAATCTGACTCTTTATCAATCAAATTTCAAGAATCTTTTCAGATTATTATTATTATTATTATTATTCTTCAGTTATACTCATATGCAAGCAGTGCTTATGACGAGTCCTTGTGTAATGTTAAATACAGGCAAGAGTTGGTTACACAGGAGGAATGCTTAATGTTGAATGACATCAAAAATATAATAAAAATATAGAATAATTAATGAAAGACAGGATTTAATACTCACAATACAGATTTTCAGCTTAGAAATAATAAGTTAAATCAGATAGTAGATTCATCTGAAGATATCTACTTACCAAGTTCACATTTCTTTATTTTAGAAGCTGAGAAGTTAAATCTTTTCAAAGAAAGAGCATTTCTTCAATTCTTTTTATAAAAGTTTAAATGATCTTCTCAATGTTGGGAATTTATAAAAAGAGCAAGTGTAGATAGTTGATGATTTTTGATCACTGACAATAATTGATGATATTGATGCTGTAACATCTGATAGTAATATCATCAGATTTTTTGATAAAAATAGTTTAAGCAGTTTGAGGTTATGCTCAGAATCTTTTAAAAATTCTTTTCAGAGAAATTAGATTCATTCTTTTTTTCAGAGAAATTCTCATAATTTTTCTTTTTATAATTCTCATTGTCACTCTGAACTGATTCTTCATATGTGAAAGATTCATAACTAACTTCTTTTCCTTTTTTTTCAGATAAAAGATGTGTGAGGGTAATACAAGAATTTTTATTTCTTTCACATATATTAAATTCAATTTTTGAATTATGATTCTTTGTTTTTTTTTTTTTTTTTTTTTTTTTTTTTTTTTTTTTGAAAACTCTCAATGATAAGTACTCCTCTTCTGATGTTCATACAGACATTGATGTCAAACAATCAGAGGATTCTCAAAAGTAGATCATTGAAGATTATTGAAATGTTTTTAGATGAAAATGTCATAAAACAATGAACTTTTCTTCAGATCTATTTCACTGCAATGTCAAATTCCACTCAGAAATGAAGCAAAAATTCAACTTTAGTTGCTGTTTTCATAGACATTCCATGATAATCAATGTCAGATAAAGATCTTTTAAAAATTCAGTAAGTTTTCAAAAAAACTTCTGTAATTAAATTTAGCTTTGATTTTTGATCAGTTTGAATAATAGATTTGAAAAGATCTATAATCTTGATTTTCACTTTAATTTGAGCAGAGATTCCGAAAGCTTTATTTTCTGATTTCAACTGTGATAGAAGCTTGATATTAGCGTCTATAATGAGAGTGATTGTTTAATTGAAAACAGTGATCATTTAAACAGTTGAAGCCTTCTCTGTATTTTTCTGCTTCTAACAGAATATACTCATCATCAATGTAAAGATCTGCCACATCAATAGGCAGTCCCGAGCACTGGTTTTCTGAACAATTGGCACCCGCACTTTAAACGCCTTGCTGCCCTCCTGGCGACCTGACATTAACACTCACTCGGCGCTCCGTGCTTGACATTTCCCACACCGTCCGCCCGGACGTGTCCACGTGGTGCTACTTCTCCTCCTATGAATATGGGTTGCCGATCTTAGGCACTATACACGGTGGCGATCTTACCCGGGTCCCTCTTTGGCAGTTTGCCTGATTACACCCCCAGGGCATTCCGCTAGTAATACTTATCTTTCGTTCACGGGCAGGACCCGAGCAAGGAAACGGACTGGTCCAAGTCGCCCCGCTGGAGCAAGGCGAGGAAGTTGCTGAGTAGGTAGGACTGGAGCTCGAGGCTTATTCCGGACACCTTGTAGGAATGATGCTTATGAGTACATCCTCGAGAATGTGAGAAATTTCCATATTTAGGATTTCTTGAGTTATGTAGGCTACAAGCATGAACGGGTTATGATTGGATATGCATGATTACTGTTAATATAGGGTGTGTATAAGGAATACATAAGAGAAACCAGGCTAGGTTTTCTATTTTCGAAGTTTTGATCACTCTCGCCGGTTGCGAGGGCATCGAATTGGCGAATCTCACCATTATATTTTTAAGATATCCAGAGACTGAAAAAAAGGGTGTGTCTCCATCCCTAGGCACTGATGCAACCCTTTTGGCAGTACTTGAGGACACGGTGATATCGCCGATTTGCTCCAGTAGCAGACATAAACATGGTCGTAAAGCCGAGAGGAGGGACCTAGATAGGGATGACCAGCGCCGGACCAGCTACTCCCCTGGAGGCCCTCACTGCGGAGAATCCTGGGTTGCTGAACTATACTCATCTCTTCATATACCCCCCGAAGAGGATAGCGACTCGGGAAGAGGGGTCAGCACGAATACAAATGAGTTTCAAAGGTTCTCTCGCCGTCCCCGTCCCCGTAACCCCCCATGACTTCAGCGTTTTAAAGGTTCGCATCTCCTTCGGTAAGCCCCGAGCCCGGGAGAAAAGGGCCTCCACGGCGTGAAGACATGAAGAGGGAGGCTACCGAGCAAGATGTTGCCAGAGGAGAGATGCAAGGGGGCATCGGAACCTCCGAGAAATGGCCCCCATCGACTCCATTCAGGATTGATACCCCCATCACCGAATAAGCCTGGGCAAACTTCCAAGCTGACGCCTTATGGAGACATCGAGGTAGCTTCGTGATCACGGTCCGAACAGGATTCCCCGAAACTTGTCTGTCCTTAACGCCGCCACCAGTCGGCCCTAATCATCCCGCAGTTTCGACATCGTCTTGCTGACTGCATGCGGGTAGCCGAGCGGAGCATTGGATAAATCAACATCAAAATAGATCAAAACTACCTATCAAAGCTCAGCAACGCAGGGAACGACGAAGCTTAATAAGTAGTGGATGGGAGTGACAGTGGTCTCTGATATAATTACTAGTAACTACGGACTACGGAGTCTCACCCCGCGCCTGTTATTGCTGTTATTGTCGTTGTTGCGATATGTCTGCGTCCTGTAAGGTTCAACTACAGCCTCGAACCCTTGGAATTCTCCCTGGCGTTTCTAGCAAAGGCTAGATCGGTGCCAGAATGATCGAGGGCGTATTCTTGTGCACTGACTGTCTGACTTCGTCCTGGGTCTCTTCGAGTCTCCACCGATCACGCCATTTTGCCCGTTGCTTCGTAGTCAAACTAATCAATCAATCAATCAATCAATCAATTGATTCGCCTTTGTGCTTTTTTTTTTTTTTTTTTTTTTTTTTTTTTTTTTTTTTGAAAATTTATCTTTTTTTTTTCTTCTCGCCTTCTGCTCCCCGCAATCGAGGAAATAAATAAATATATGAGAGCGGCGGAATCCTCTTCTGTTCTCCTTCATTCATCTCCCTCCCCCTCTGCTGGAAAATCGCCGTCTCCCTTCGAATTAAATAGGCCTCTAACTATATACCCTTACCCAACATATCCCTGGCTGCTCATATCGTTCCATCGTATTGTCATATATTGCCCTATTTCCAACATGGCTGGCGACGAAATCTCCCAGCGCTTTGAGACGCTGCAATTGCATGCTGGGTAAGCAACATCAGCACTTATGTATATTTACTGTCCCGACGTCGCTAACGAATGCCCGAATCCAGTTATGATCCAGATCCGGCCACCAATTCGCGAGCTGTTCCCATTTATGCTACCACTGTTGGTCTCTCTCAGAAAACCCAAACCCCCCACCCCTCCCTTCATTGCACCGTCCGTCACTCACTAACTTGCGGTGAAGTCCTTCACTTTCAATGATTCCGCCCATGGTGCTCGACTCTTCGGCCTCAAGGAATTTGGCAATATCTACTCCCGTCTTGCGAATGTGCGTTATATCCATACCTTGGCTCTTCACCAGTGCATAATGATAATGACAATGAATAATAACGAGAACAGCCCACGGTCGAAGCCTTCGAGAAGCGCGTAGCTGCCCTAGAGGGTGGCGTGGCTGCAGTGGCCGCCTCCTCCGGCCAATCCGCCCAGTTCATGACCATTGCTGCCCTCGCTGCCGCCGGCGACAACATCGTTTCCACCACCAATCTCTACGGAGGGACCTATAACCAGTTCAAGATCTTCCTGCCGCGCCTTGGTATCACTACCAGGTTTGTCACGGGCGACGACCCCGATGAGTTGGCGTCGAAGATCGACGATAAGACCAAGGCCATCTACTTAGAGACGATTGGGAATCCGAGATACAACGTGCCTGACTTTGAGCGGATTGCGAAGGTTGCGCATGAGAAGGGGGTACCGTTGGTGGTATGTCTACAATGATCTATGGATCGATCGAAGAGATAGAAAGATAAAAAGGGGGAGGGCAAAAAAAAGAAAAGAAAAAGAAACCTCCATCCATGGATCCTCTGATTAGATAAGCTAACCCAGCAAACCAAATAGGTGGACAACACCTTCGGCGCAGGCGGATTCTTCACGCGCCCCATCGAGCACGGTGCCGACATCGTCGTGCACAGCGCTACGAAATGGATTGGCGGCCACGGCACCACCATCGCCGGCGTCGTCGTCGACAGCGGCAAGTTCGACTGGGGCAAACACGCCAAGCGGTTCCCGCAGTTCACCGAGCCATCCCCCGGCTACCACGGCCTGAAACTGTGGGAAGCTTTCGGCGCCGCCGCCTTCGCTACCAGCGTGCGCATCGACGTGCTCCGTGATCTCGGCAGCGCGCTGAATCCGTTTGCCGCGCAGCAGTTGCTGCTGGGGCTGGAGACCTTGTCGCTCCGCTGCGAGCGGCATGCGAGCAATGCAATGGCGATGGCCAGGTGGCTGGAGAAGAATGAGAATGTCTCGTGGGTGTCGTATCCGGGATTGGAGAGCCATCCCAGCCATGAGACGGCGAAAAAGTACCTGAAGCGTGGGTTCGGAGGCGTGCTGTCGTTTGGTGTCAAGGGCGGTGCCAAGGCCGGCAGCCAGGTCGTCGACGGGTTTGAATTCATTTCAAACCTTGCCAAGTGCGTATCTCTAAACGTAACAGGATACCTCTCGAATAGAACATGATCGACTAACATACTCAATTCTTTGTTATAAACCCAATACAGTGTCGGTGACTGCAAATCCCTAGCCATCCACCCATGGTCAACGACGCATGAGCAACTCAGCGAGGAGGAGCGCATCGCGTCCGGCGTGACGGAGGACGCCATCCGCTTCTCTGTCGGAACCGAGCATATTGATGATATCATTGCGGATTTCGAGCAGTCATTTGCAGCCAGCAGCGCGCTGAGCGGCAAGGCCGATAAAAAATGATAGGCTTACGCCAGTAGCTCTGGCCCTGACTGTACCCACAGGTAGACTGGTTATCCTACTTTGAATGAAAAACAGATAAAGTTGGACTGGTAAAGGGGTTCCGGTGTAGGGCTTCGGGAGCCTCTATATATCGTTCGGGTCTATATTCTTAGAGAGGTTTTAAACTGCAATTCAGGCTATAGGCAGGTAGTAAATAATCAACTACTACCTACGATGATATGAAATGAAATGAAATGAATAGTTCTTCTTTCTCGTTTTCCTCTTTCCTTTACCTTTTGCGTTCCCTTTTCCTTCTCCTTTACTTTATAGCTTCTTTCACCCTTTGCCCTTTTTCGTATCTTTTCTTTCTCGTTTTCTGGGCCATTGGCTCGGCCAAAAGCGACAATTTCATGTCGCCAAACACCACCAGGGAATACAGGAGAGAGCTTGACACCCCTACACCATAATGGACATCCAATGCCATGTTCTTCTAGATGAAAACAAGATGCGCCAACCACACAGTGCTCAGGATAAAAGCCAGAACGATAGGGTTCTCGAGCTGGAGGGAGTTACGATGAGTGTCGGACGATTTTCGAGATTGTTCGCGCAAGCTGTTGGCCAGGCCGGACAAGACGTCCACGACAAGCGCTCCTAGGACTTCGGCTCCTTTCATCCAACGGCGTTTTACTCCGTCTCTTCCCAGCGTGGGAGTACAGAGGGCTAGCGGCAAGCGGGTGACCTGTTTGTGAACGACCGCAGGCATGTATTCATTCCTCACCAAGACTGGTGACAACCGGGCTGAAGTTTTTGATGATGTTGAACATACCTCCACTTAAGTTCTGGGGCTTCAGCGGAGCCGAATGTCGGGAAAAAGGAAATAAAAGCCACACAGCCGCACTCTGCCAATGGAATCCAGCACCGAATGTCTGGACAGCCCGTTCCGAATATCGACAGATTTTCTTGGTCTGTGAGACTCCTCATTGATCTCGAAGTATATCTATAGTATACCGCGATGTAAGTTGCAGCTCCAGATCTATTCCCTACATGATAACGCCCCCTATAAGCGTCAATCCAATCCACGGACGGCACGCAACTCCCTAGTCAAGGTAACGAGTCTCATCACGAATCATTGGGGTGTGGACCAAGTCACGACAAAACCCTCCCACCCCCCGGCCCTGTATCCAGGCGAAATCGGCCGAATATCAAGGCAAATATGCTGGCTCCGTTGGATTCCTGATGGGATCCGCGCATACAGTCGATATAACAATTCCTCACCAACCATTGACGTGCAGGGCGTAACTTGGGTGGTTGGATTCGCAGTTTCAATAGTACCTAGGTGTACCGTATCATGGGGAAATGCCTTCCATGGTTTAGCACTATTCTAATCGGGTTTAACGCAACGTCGCCGCTTTCTGAACTATATAAATCCCCTCCCCCCGCCGCTCGAACATCCTCTCTCTCCATCATCTCTATTTTCCCTTTCTTTCCTCATAATTCTCTTATCTCATGTGTGCCGTGCTCATCCCCTCTTTCCTCTTGAGCCCCACTGCTAGTGTCACCTGACCCGGCTGTGCCGCAGCTGAAACTGTTCTCGACATGATGATCATGTCCAATTTCCCTTCATCCCAGATGCAATTTCGCCTCACTCTACTGTCAAGTTACTCTAAAACCATGCATAGACTGAGGCCCGCTACTGAGATATCTAGTCTGCTCAGAACTGTGGCTGGCTGAGATTTTCTGTTCATTTTGTTGATCTCATTTTCTTGTCACATACATAACAAGCTAATGCTCTAGATTCTATATTTGATGTTTTGAGATTCTGCACATCTATTCTATCAATATTGCCAATCCCATCCATTCTGTCTGTGTCTTGATGTTTGTTATTATTCTTAATCTCTCCCTTCTGCAATCAGTCAGCAAACCCGATGTTTCTCATCTGTGGTGCACGCCGGTGATGAGTGGCCTCTACTTATTGAAATGATATGCCAATGAAAAAAATGCCTCTGCATGGCAGAAACAGTATCTGCTTTGCTGCATCACAGACCATTACACATCAGGCTCTGATCAGAGTGCAAGATCTGAAAGGTCTGGTTGATTGCAAGGGTGACATGTCCAGACAAAGAAAAAAATCTCCCCGACAATTCAAGCCTCACAGTGTGGCCGATGCATGACGTGGACATGATCCAAACTGCTCCAGTGCAAGTGAATTCTCAGTCACACTATTTTCTCTCTTGACCAGCAGCAAGATACCGAGCCGACAAAGATAGATGTCCACTGGAAAAAGGGCTTCAGCCTCAGCCTCCTGGGAGCTCAAATCGACCAGGAGAGAAAGGGGCGATGCGACAGTGATGCGACGTCCGAGTTTCCCCATTTTCCCGATCCGCACTTCGATGATTTAACGGATGGTCGCATGACAATTATCTAGCACCCCGTCAGTCAGTGCTACAGTTTAGGAAATAAAAAGCGAGAGGGGTTACAATCTTCCCTTGCTTTCTGCGTGGACGGCGGCTGGCGTTGCATGGTGATATGTGACACTCATTTTCCTGCCTTGTTTTACGAGGATTTGGCCGACCTCCCCTCCGTGGCGCCAACGTTCCTGCACCATGGCGATTTCTTCCTGCAGGGACAATGTGGTGGAAGCGAGCAGGTAGAATGGCACCAGCAGGATTTCTCTCATTCGCCGTGTTGAGATCGTCGTAAACATAAAAAGGTGCCAAATTCCCGACCAAAATTGTCGCTACAAAAAATATCAGAGCACGAGCACAGCAAGCGCACCCCAGATCCCATCATTGCAAGCAGCGATTCCAACTCAGACAATGACACCCTCTCTGCCGGAACATGCTGCGGCACGCGAGATTCCAAGTAGGTACAACGGCCCTGAGTTGTCGGTACAAAATCTATCAAAATCTGATCAGTATTCGAACAAGAATCCTTGGCAGCGAGCTTCTATGATCCCCAGAGGTCGCCTAGATCAAGTCCCCCGACTATGAACCAACTTCTGTCACAATTTGTCCGCCCGAGCCTTCCTCACTTGGCCGACGGTGAACCTGGATCATCACCGGACAACCTGATTGATCTGGATGATAGACCGGATGAAGAACACGACACGGAATTTCTCAGTGAAGATCGAGAATCATCACCCCTTGGAGGCGACGCCGAGCGTGAGTGCGATAGTGAAACTGGTGATGGAAGGAGCAGGGAGGCAACATCAATTCGGGACTTGGAAGGGGAGCCGCAGACGCAGCCACAGTCAGGATCACAGTCAACAGAATCCCCTCAGCCAGTATCAGAGCCAGAGCCAAAGGCAGTCATTGCATGCGAATGTGAATTTCCCTGATAGCTGTGGGCTGCAGAGGGCATATATTAATGGATACAGGAGGCCTCAGCTGTGTTGACAGTGACAAGGAGAATGTTGAACCATTGCCACCACAGTTCATTTCCGGTGCACTGCCAAATAACATCTCCGAGGACGGACCCTCAAAAGAAACCCATGTCAGAGTCGGCGACTCTTTCACACCCCACCTTGAGCCAGACACAAGCAGCCCCCATATCCTGCTACATTGTGAGGCTAGGGAAGAGCATCTTGAATTTCTCCTGTGGGCGCCCATATGGCAGTCGGAGGATGAGATTGCGAAGGTCCATCCGGATCAGCTCAAGCGATACAAGAAGAGGTTGAGCATCAGGCCTGTAAGAAGAGCCTCTCAGGCGAGAAAGTGAGCATAGTCCTCTTTTTCAGAGTCTAGAAGATCATCACATCAGAAAAAGATGCAGCCAGTGCTAAGTATAGATTCTGTCAAATGGGAGTCAGTGAATTACTTTTATTTCATTGTTATCTTGTATGCTTGTTTTGCTGCTATATCTGACTAACTTGAGATTAGAGGATCTGAAAGATGAGGTCTTGTATTTATCTGACTTGTATTGTTGAGTGATTAGAATCTGCCCAGCCAACACTGAACGCTATATATATGATAGTCATATTGGATTACATCAAGTACAAAAATTCTAGTGGAGCACTGGTGACCTGATTCGGTCGCTAGTCAAAATGTCCAATTCCACCCGGTTGGGCAGCTGATTCACTGCCTTTCTTCCTTCAGTTGCTCTGACTTCCTGCATAAACAACTTGTAAACACTGAAGAGGTTTGTTCAGACTGACAATGTTTTGTAGCTGTGCCAGCTTCTGAAGAATGCCTGCCACACTAGAAAGGATTACATTATAACTTTCTAATAATTTTGCATTTTTATTCCCATGTTTGCTTCCCATTCATCACATAAAATTAGCATACCAACAAGCACAATCACTGTAATATATAACAGAATTCTAAGTCCAGATCATTTGATGTAAAGTTTCATGAATATCCATCATATTCCATTCATTCTGTTCTCTATGCTTTGTTGTTATCCCCCCTATAATTTCTTTAATGGTGAGTAAGTCAACATGGGTGTGTATATAGGAAATAATTTCTTTGATATCTACAATTTTCCCAACCGGAACAGTTATTATTGACTTTTCGTCAGGAGGAGCGGATATCATGAGATTATTTGATATAGGAATGAGGCTCATGGGGCCCTTAGCTCAAAACCGAGTGTGATCATCTATTCTCAAAATTTTTGGATTTTGAGAGCTGCCATACAGATCAGTTTCATATTTACTCATTTAAAATAATATCACACTCACATCTGCCTTACCTGCATGTAGTATTGTTTTAATCTTCGAAGCATCCAGAGGCTCCATGCTTTCCTTCAGAGTAATCAGGTGTCGCTCGCCATTCAGTGACTTTATCCGCATGTTGTTTTAAATAATTAAGTTCGCCTTCGCATTCTGGAGGCGAGGGGGTTCTTCTTTGTTTCGGTCGGCATGTTGTTTGGAAGTGATCATTAAGCTGGATTACATAACGAACTACTACTCTGCATCATGCATAAATGCGTCATTTTGAGATGTCCCACATGCCCCGCCAAATTTTTCTCCTCTATTTTTTTCGTTTTTAATTCCAGTCCTACCGCCGCAAACTCATCTATCCCTTGTTACAGATGTGAGTATCGCTCATAGTGTGGGATGAAATGATTTAAGCACACTATCTTGCAAATGCTGGTCATATCCACCACTCCTCTTACATGAAACGGTGATTTTGGCTCTGCGTTCTTGGTTATCATCATTCTAGATGGAGAGCGCCTTTGGGAGGTGGGTGATCTGTGGCAATCTTGACGTGGTCAGGGTCTAACGCTCTTGGATGTCTTTCTTCGCCCTTATTCACCTTCACCGTTGGTGCCAATAAGAAGGAATTAACCGTGCATTCTTCTGCGTTGGCAGGGCTTTCTCAAAGCCTGAATACTCTTATAAACGGTAAAATGAAAGAGGCAAAAACTGGACACGCTGTCTGGTCAGAGGTCGATGTAGACACATTCGCTCGGTTATGTGAATATGTGTATTTACGAAACTACACACCGCCGTCATATCGCCTGATCGATGGCGTCTCCTCCCACAAAGGTCACAGAAACCGCGAAGGAAAAGAAGAAACGCAATAACCGTCGCTCGAATGTGAACTGGGACGAACCTCCAGAATTAGAATCTGCATCCGAAGACGACGCCTGCAATGATCCGGAAACTCCATACAAGGAGAGAAGCATCTGGAGTGGACATTTGCGCGATGCTTTTGTAAGGAGCCTTGTCGTTCCGAGCCCGCAAAGTGGCGACTTGGGCTGTACTTTCACACCACCTGAAAATACCGGACCCTGGGAGGACTTCACCCCTGTGTTTCTCGAACAGGCCCGACTGTACGTGCTGGCCGACAAATATGGCATAGACTCGTTGTGCCAGCTGGTCCTTTCCAAATTGCATCAAACGCTGAGAACCTTCAAGCTGAATGACACTGGAGTGAGTGGTATTGTTGACTTTGTTCAATTTGTCTACTTGAACACACCACCAAATCAAGGCAGTAGAGTCGATGCTATGAGAAATTTCACAACATGTTATGTTGTTTCTGTTCTTGGTCAAATTGGTGAGAATGAATGTTTTCTGGAACTTTTAGAAGAAGGTGGTCCTTTTGTCTGTGATTTCTGGCACATTATTTGAAGTGTTAAGGAAAGCTCTAGTGTATGCTCTGGTGTATGAGATGAATGCGGTTCTAGGGTCTTGTGATGTTTATGATATATGGATGTCAGACCACCTAAAAAGGATCCAGTCTGTCATTGATGAGATCCCTCATGGAGTACATTCTGGTGCCTCATAGTCCCCATCATTTTTAGATGAGGATGGCAGCCAATCAAGTCAAGCTAGCTTTGTAAGCCTCAGCAAAAGTTATCTGGAGAAGGATATGTGCTCTCTATCAATCATGTCATCACCACTCTCTATTAGTACTCTCCTCCGTGTCTCTCTCACTCTTCTGCCTGCCTTCGTTCCGCTTCCGCTCTACGGTGAACTGTTATCGGCCATTAGAGAGGGATAAAAGAGTTATATCAAAAAGCGAAATGGGTACGCGGAATTTAGTGGCATAGAGATCGGCGATAATCCTGTAGTGGTGGAGAACAAGAGAACCGAAATAATGCCAGTCATCTTGCCCAAAATAACGCGGATCAACGTTTGCCTGTCAGACGAAACGGCGACCCCATCAATGCTTAAAATCATGGTTAGTAAGCAGGTTGGTAGTAACCAGCGACCGGGAAAATAGGACTAGTATGCGAGAGTCTATTCGGTAACGGACATGTTTCTCATGGAAGACTTGAAGGCCAAAGCATTGGTTGAATTCGAGTCGAAATTGACGAAATTTTGGCTTGAGTGAATTATTCCTCGAATGTATTCAGGACGTTTATGACACGGCCGCCCCGGTGCCTCCTGGGGGTGAAAAGTGCTGTGGTTCAAACTGCTACGAAGCACCTGGAGTACCTCTGGCAAAAAAAGCTGTTTCCATTTTCCGGGAAAATGGCGAATTTGCAGTGGATATGATTGAAAAACAAGTTCTGCTGGCAGGTATCTGGTGAGGGAGTATTCCGTCTTGTCGCTGGGTGCAGGTGTGATCACTGTGCTGATCCGGAAGCATAGTGGCGCGTCCTTCTGGTCCCGGTTCTTTGTTTCGGAGGGCGAAGGTGGTGTGGGGTTGGGGGGTTGTCTCCTGAGGGTATCAATCGCCTGGTTTTGTCTGTATTTACATACGTACACCTCCTCTTCCAAGGTCGGCCAATTCCCACCCGCTATTCAAGGTGGGGGGAGATCACATGTCAAAACTATTTCAGTTTATAGTCTACCAATATCTAGGAAGAGTGAAGAAGATCATAACATAAGACAACAAGAGTGAAAATGAAGGGTCCCTGAAGCAAGGGAAAATATGTAAATCGCAGCCGGAAGCGCCATGCTGGACCATGTTTCCCGCGTGACATCTTAGGAGCACGGGCTGGACAAGATGGGGGAAATTAAATAAGAACATCAGTAACTAACTAAGCCTTTTTACGATTACACAAAGAAGTTGTTGGGCACTAGTTGCCCAGGCGGCCCTCCACCGCACGTGATTACCCCTATATATAGTTAGCTAGCGATCGCACAATGAGAAGATCAACCATCCCACAGGTTATGGCCCGGATTGCAGATTTTTAAGAAAAACAGACGTTTTGATTAGAATACGCTGCGACTGATGTTATATTGGATGAGTTAAACATTATTCCCCTGAAAAGAGAGCTCTTTGCCTATAAAAGTGGTGTAATTGACGGAATTGCTGTCGAGACTGCTGCAGAGATTTCATTACTATCTTGAAGGGATCAAAAACTTATTTATTTATTTTCATTCAGAACCTCCCTAAGTCAGATTGATTATGAGTGGTTCTCGATTACCTGCGACCCCAATATCAGGACGTAAGAAGACACTACGTTCGCAATCAAGGGTCCCCCAATCCTTCCCCCCTATTACTGAGCAAGAATCCGGCTCAGAAGCGGAGGGTGATCAAACTGAATACGCGATGGCAGAGGAAGATATGACAACCTCTGGCTCAGCACACGATACTGGCAAGATGCCAGAACGCGAGGAATCCGAGGATGGCACGCCCAGTCCTATGCCGATACCTACGCCGAATCCTAACGGCATGGTGACCATGGCAGCAGCAGATCTCATTGCACTCTGCGAGCGACTGATATCAGCACGCGCGCGGCCACCTCCTCCACCTCCTCCACCACCTCCACCTCCTCCGAACCCTATACCAGAAGAAGATCCGAACATGCTGGCTCGCGAATACCAGAAGGAAGCGCAGGCCTCGTTGAACACAAAGTCCGTCACCACGTTCGATGGCACCAACTACCAGACGTGGAAGATGGCGTTCTTGTCGGATGCAGAAGTGATCGGTGGTGCAGATATTCTTAATAAGAACCAACAGGAACCACCTGAAGGTTTATCATCGCTCGATCAGCGATATTGGGTGATACGTTCAAAACTTCTCTTCCGTCGCATGTTGCAATCCCTAGTAGGTTCTGTCCGTTTGACCATGGGATCCATTCAACCCGACAACGCGGCGGCCCTATGGAACAAGGTAAGCGCAGTATACGCGATATCCCTAGGGGAAGAAAGGATTAACATCCTTAAAGAATTTACCCACTTGCATGTCAAGGACGGTGATTACCTGGCATACGTACGCCGATATCAATACCTGTCTGCTCGCATGCGACAACTAACGGAGGACCGTGGTGAGAACTACCTCCATGATTTCTTTATTATCGGCCTCCGAGATTATCAGAGGACCTATGTTAAATCACGCCTCGATACGTTCTACGGGACGGGTCAGGGTCCGATTGTCAACCTAGATATCAACGATCTCACAAAACAAATTGCTCACCGGATGAGTAAATCAGAGGATACTGGACGCCCTAAAGCTCCAAAGGCCAACGCGGCCACCAATGATAATGACAACACAACTTCCGCCGCAACCGCAAAGTGCGGATACTGCAAGGTCCCAGGGCATATAAAGGCTAATTGCTATCATCTGAACCCTGACAAAGCGCCCGAGTGGTGGAGGAAAGAGAATAAGGATAATAAGGGCACTGACAACACTGAAGGTGCCAAAAAGAAGGGAAAGGATAAGAAGAAGGACAAGGATGACGACCAACCTACTGGCACCAGAGCGCCAGATCTCCTTGCATCGCAACCTAATGCCAACGCAGCAATTGCTTTATCTACGTCGTCCGCTACAACATCCAAACCTTGGTATCTCGACACCTGCGCAAGCTTCAATATGACGGGTGAAAGGCACTCGTTGGTGCGCGCAAAGTCGTTCGAAGGTGATTTAGAAATTACTACCGCGGACGGTGGCGTAGGACGGGTTGAGGAGATAGGTGATATCCTTCTAGAATCAGAAGGGGGGGATATCTCAGTGGGTTACGTCCACTGGATCCCCAATCTAACAGTCAACCTTCTATCCTTTGCGAAGCTAGAAGATCAAGGCTTCAGATACCAACTATCAGATACCACCCCTTCCTATTTTACAATAAGGGCCCCGAACGGTGCCAACTTCACCGCTGTTCGCACGTCCAAAGAATCGGTCTACAAGATAATAGAACGAGAATCTCAAATAGACGTCCATCACCCGTCCCAGGCCGTCCATTTTATGGCCAAATCTTACAATTACGGGGACGCAATGTCGACAATCGCGGGGAAACCTAACGATCAACCTAGCGATCGCAACCCCCTGACAAGAACACTCATGGAATGGCACGTCACACTAGGGCATATCCACGCTGGCGCGATCATTGCACTAGCGAAGGACCCATCATCCGGCATCCGCATCAAAGGATCTAAAACAGGCTTCTTCTGCGATAGCTGCGTCAAAGCAGGCATGACACGCAAGTTCTCGCAAACTCCCATGCCACGAGCGTTGCGAGCAATGCAACGTGTTCATATCGACCTTGCTGGCGGTGGTCGTACGCTGGATGATATGTCCGATTACCCTATCGAATCTCGTCAAGGGACCAAATATTATATGCTCATCACCGATGACGCCACCCGCTACAGGTGGATCTATTTTTTACATACCAAGGACCAAGCTGTCGAAATTTACGCTCACTGGGTCCAATTCATGAAAAATCTCGGCTTCACGCCACCGGCGCTAGTTAGGACTGATATCGATGGTGTCTTTCGATATAACAAGATGACAACAATGATGACCAAAGATGGCACTATCTGGGAACCTACTACGCCCCAGTCTCCCCACCAAGATGGTGTTTCTGAGAGAGGAATCCGTACGATAATGACACGCGCAAGGGCAGTGCTTTTAGGCATGAATATACCGAAGAAGTTCTGGGCAGACGTTCTCGAAACGGTGGTTGCAATTACCAACAACACACCAACATCTACCACCCTGTATAATGAGAAATACTGGCCTACCAACAACGCCGACGAAGCACCTGCGCGATGCCCCTATACGGTCCCATTCTCAGCACTAACCAACGCCCCGCCCCAACTTCGCCATTTTAGGGAGCTAGGTGTTGATGTTTACGCGCACCTTCATGGATCTCAAAAACCTACTGACAAGCTGTCCGCTAGGGCAGAAATTTTTAAACTTATAGGATTCCGTGGTAACTCAATCTACCGCCTCTGGAGTCCTACAACTGATAAAATAATTGTCACCAGTGATGTCGTTTTCCCTGCAAAGGAACCTACAACCTCGCAGGATGACACTAACCACACGACACCCGAACCTGCAAGTCCAGCGACTTATCTCGTTGATGATACTACCGTTCCTGAATTAGCTGACGCTGAATGGGTAAGACCAGCGAAAGCGTTCGCCACCTACGTTCCTTCTCCCCTCACCGGTTCCGTTCCGAAAGGATATAAGGATGCCGTTGGTAGACCTGGGGGGGTTGGCGAATATTGGCAGAAATCGATGGAACGCGAGATTGCAGATTTGGAACGAAGGAACACTTGGACAATGATCCCACGTTCTGACGTCCCTTCTGGTGAGCCAGTGGCCCCCGGCCGCTGGGTTTATGTCGAAAAAGATCGCCCCCAGGATCCCAACGCGGATCCTGATGGTATATTACGAAAATCTCGATGGGTAGTGTGCGGTAATTGGTTAAAGAAAAGCGCACGCGAAGAAACATACGCGCCCGTCGTTAATGACGCTACTAATCGCATGATGTTCGCGATAGCAGCGAAGCGAGGTTGGACCTTGCGCCAGGTCGATATAGTGATGGCCTACCTACACGGCCGACTTGGTAAAACGATTTATATGCGGCAACCTACCGGATTTGAGGTGGGGACTCCACACGCGATGGTTTGCGCTGTCGGAGGCTCCCTATACGGATTGGACCCTGCTGCTAAGATTTGGTACGATTTCCTTACGGCATTACTCCGCGAGAATGGCTTCAAACCTAGCCCCTACGACCCTGCTCTATGGCGCCACACGTCCCGCAATCACCTTTATATGACAATCTACGTGGACGACCTTCATATTATAGCAGAGGATCCGGCAGATGCCGATTGGCTAGTTGACACCCTCGCCAATAAATTAGAAATAAAGGATTTAAAAGAACCTTCAAAATACTTAGGCATGGAGGTTGAACGTCGCCCTGATGGTGCTATAAAATTGACATTGAGACGCTATATCGATCGTTTAGTGCAAGATTTCCGCCTAGATGACGCCGTCCCTGTCCCTACGCCAATACTTGAAGGGTTGAAGATAGACGATACCCCTGTGTCAGAACGAGAAGGAGGGTTCACCAAAAAGCGATACCAACACGGAGTAGGGTGCTTGCAGTATCTGGCAGTCAAATTACGCCCAGATATTGCGCGAGCAGCATCCCTACTAGCGCAGAAGAATACTGCGCCTACACCTAAGGCGTGGAGGGCTCTCCTCCGCGTAATACAATATCTAAAAGGAACGAGCGACCTTGGCATCTTATACGAAGGCCCCAAGAACGAGATCGATGAATTC